ACGCACCACCCGGCCCGCCGCCGAGGCCCCCGCGCGGCTCTCGGCTGCGCCCTGCGCTCACCCACTGTGTATGCGACGATGGTGAAGTTGGGGGGCGCATCGTGCAGCTTGATGCGGTACTCCGTGACGATGCCTGCCGACGAATGGGGATGGGGCAGGGCAGGAGGGAGGGAGGCGGGAGGGGGTGAACCAGCGGCAGCAAAAACAATAAGGCCCGTCTGCGTGGGGCCCCCAAGCCCGCCACCCTGGCGGCTGCCCGACCGCCCCGGCGCACCCAGGTTGCCGCCCCCCACGCCGCAGCTGGCGCCCAGCAGGTCAGAGTTGAAGCTGGCGTTGGCGACGACCAGCTGCCCCTGGGCATCCACCTGCGGCGGCGGTGGCAGCGTGTTGTGTGTGTGTGTGTGTGTGTGCACGCTGCAATAGGCGGGCCAGGCATGGCCCCACAGCCCGCTGTGCCGGCCGGCCAGCTGCCCAGCTGGAGCTGGCTGCCACATCCGCTGCCGCGGGCAGCCGGGCAACATGCGTGGCCGGTCTCCCCCCCCACACACACACCAGTCCTCCTCTCCTGTCTCCGCCTGCACCCACCCACAGCCAGCTGCGCGTCCCGGGGCCTCGCCCCACCAACACCACATCCACCACCGTCCCCGGCCTGCCTCCACCCCGCTCACCAGCTGCACCTCCTCCAGCTGGTCGCAGCCCAGGCCGTACTGTCGGGTCAGCGGCCCGATGCCGCCGCCCAGGAAGAGGCCGCCGGTGCCCACGGGGGGGCAGGTGCCGCCCACCGCCGCCTTGGTGCCGCCCGTCTGGTTGTAGACGTAATAATAGAGCTGCGCAGGGGGGGTGGTTGGGTGGCGGCGGCGATTGGCGTGTGCTTGGTAGGGGCGTGCGGTGGGCGATGCTGTGGTTGGGTGGGGAGCAGAGCGTGAGGGAAAGGGAGCACGGGACGGCGCACGGGCGCTTGCCACTGGCGCCATCCAGCCCGGCGCCTCCCCGCCTCCCCGCTCCGTGCAAGCCGCGTGGCGCAGGCGCAGACCGGCTTGCTCGCTGCCCCCATACCCCCCGCTCCTGTCCCCGCGGCCCCCGGCCACCGCCGGCCGTCGCCACCGCGACTCGCAGCCTCACCTGGCCCAGGCGGGAGCCGGCCTGCACGGTGGCGGTTGCGCCGTCGGCTGACACGGTGGTGACATTCATGCGGTTGAGGTCGATTGTGAGGCCGCCAGGCATGACGCTGTACCCCATGTAGCTGTGGCCGCCAGACCTGCAACACGCCGCGGGGCGCAGCATCGCATTGCAGGGGCTGGCTGGCTGGTGTTGGCGGTGGTGGCGGCAGCGGTGGGCCCAGGTGGGGTGGCGCCCAGGTGGGGTCGCACTGGGTTCCCTGCCCCAGCCAGCACCAGGCGGCAGGGCCGGCAGGCATGGGCGGGGGTAAAGAGGCGCCTTGCGGCAGCGGCGGTGGCAGCCCCGCGGCAGGCGGCGGCGGCGGGGCGGGCCCCACCTCGGCACCGGCTTGATGCCCGCCTCTTTGGCGCACAGCACGGCGGCCGCCACCTGGGCGACATCGGCCGGGTAGGCGACCGCCGCGGCTATGGTGTCGTTGAGCTTGTTCCACACCTGGCCACGCGGGCATCAGCATGATGCACGGGGGCAGAGGAAGGGAGGGCTCAGAGGCGGGCGTAGCGCAGAGCGGGCTGCGGCGCCTGGCGGCGGCAGACGCAGCCGCGGCACGGCGGCAGCAGGGCAGCAGGGCAGCGCCGCTCGTCGGTGTGGAGCGGGATGGGAGAAAGCGGGGAGGGGCCCGTGGTGCTGCGGGCAGCCGCAGACACCTTGCAGGCCTGGTCCAGTGCGGCGGGGTTGGAGTCATCCACAAACTCGATGCCGGCGGACGCCAGGCACGCGGCCAGGTCCCCGCCAGCAGGGGCGGGCGCAGAGCCGGGGGTGGGCGCCGTCTGCGGACGCACACACCGTGCCAGGCAAGCTGGAGTGAGTCGGGGGTGAGGGTGGCGGTGGGCACAGCGGCAGCAGCGGGCGGGTGCGGGCCAGGCTGGGGGCGCCGGGCGGGTGGCGCGTGGCGGCGGCTGGCCCCTGGTGGCGGCATCCCGCTCCTGCCAGACAGCGAGGTGGTGAGCCCCTGCCCCCCGGCTGGCTTGGCTTGCCTGGTTGAGGAAGTCAAACTGGGGGTCGTAGCCATCGGAGCCGGGCAGGAACATGGGCCAGGGGCAGGCGTCGCGCCCCAGCGTCTTGCCCGCCGCATTCACAGACACGTTGTGCTCCTTGCCGTCGTCGCAGCTGCGGGGCGGCGGGGGTGACAGGCGTATTGGACACATGTGGGGTGGGGGGTGCACCCGTGGGCGGGAGGGCGTCCCTGCGCCTCCGGGAACAAGCTCACGTGAACAGGATGTTGCAGTAGCCGCTGTACTCCCCTGTCGAGGGCTGCAGGGACAGGTTGAGTGGTTGGCCTGAGCCGGCGCCGTGCGCTCGAAAGCGGCGGTGCCCAGCCACACGGCAAGGCCTGCTCAGCTCCTTGCAGAGCACGCACACAACAGAACCCCGCCCCTCGGCGCCCGCCCCGCGCACGCTGTAGCAGGCGTCTTGCATGGTGGTGGTGAGCCAGGCGGCGCCGCCGCCGCACTTGGGCACCGCCGACGGGTCTGCCGGGAACAGCTTATATTTCATCGAGTTTTCGCACAGGTGGTTGAACTCCCACATGGGGGTGAAGTCGATTTCGTCGTCCACCACCGGGATGGGCTCCAGGCCCGCGGGGCAGGAGACTGCGGGGCGCGGCGTGGCGCGCAGGGTGGGGGTGGCGGTGGCGGTTGGGGGGTGAGGGCAGGGGGCAACCATAGGGCGGCAGCGGCGGCGCAAGGCTTGCGCCGCGCAGTTGCCCAGGCGCTGCCATGCAGGGGCTGCAGGGCCAACGGCCCAGCGCTTGAGCGCCCCATGCATATGCCAGCTGCCTGCCACCCCCTGGCAGCGGGCGCTCACAGTTGTCCGGAAGCGGCGCCACCCTGGCCGTCACGCTGTCGGCGGCCCAGGGCTGCAGGGTGGGGTCTTGGCCAGGGCACCGCCGAACCAGCGCCTCCAGCTTAAGCTTCGTCTCTGGGTTGTTGTTCTTGCAGCTGTTCTTGAAGCTGGCGGTCAGGTTGGTGTAGGTGTCGGTCGGGGCGGAGCCCGGCTGCAACGCAGGCAGGTGGCGAGGGGAGGCCCACTCGGCGGCGAGCGCCAAGGCGTGAGAGGCGCCACGGCAGCCACATGGGAGGAACTCTAAAGGCCTGGGACTGCTCCCCGCCCGGGCCGCACCTACCTCGGTGCAGAGCTGTTTGACCACAAAGCCCTGCTCTGCAGCATTCTGCACAAAGTCTGGGGGGCTGCAGTCTGCCTGCCGGTTGTTGCGCAGCTCATCTGCAGGGCGGGGAACGAGAGGCGGGGGACGAGCCGGCATGGCGGCAGCGGTCAGGGGCCGCGGCTCAGCCAACCAGTGCAGCGGGCGGGTGTGGGGACTCACAGAGGTAACGCGCCAGCAGGGCCTGCTCCGCATCCAGCTGTGTGCCCGCAGTGCAGGTGGGCGCGGCGGTGGCGGCGCGTGCCGCTCCCACCAGGGCCAGCGCCAGCACTGCGGGGTAGGAGGCGGGCATCCCGTCAATGCACATGCTCTGCAAGGCGAGGCAGGGGGGAGAACGCCCACTGCCCGCGGGCACTCACGCAGCCAGCGCGTTCTGTCCATTGCAGCGCGCCGCCCTTGCTGCAAAATCTCAGATGCTATGTTTGTAGCGGTGCCCGAATGCTGCAAGCCCCGATTTCGGCTTGAGCTGAGAGGAAACCCGTCGAACAGCCAACTCAGCCCTTTCAACGCGGTGCCAGGAGCGTGCTTTAAGCGGTGTAAAGGAGCATCAACACCAGAGTATGACAGACCGGCACGTCCACTTGGCTGCCGTGCCATGTGCCGGTATCCTTGTTGGCTGCTGCCGGGCTGGCCTGCACTGAAGTCTGGAGCCTGCACATCACATCACCATTCACATCACAGATGTGCATCCGCATGGCTCATGCTGGCCCGGTGGGGCCGGGCCTGGGCGCAGCTGGGCCCGCTCGAGCTCCCTGTACCCCACCCCAACTGCGCACGCCGCGCCTCCTCCCGCCGACCCCGTGCAGAAGGGGGGAAGCAATGGATGTTGTTGTACTGTTGGTCACCTTGCTGCTATTCATCGTGGCTGCCAGTCTCTCTTGCCACAGCAGGGGATGCTGGATGGCTGCAGCTGGCGGGCATGGGTGGTGCGGGCATTGGTGGCGGGCATTGGTGGCGCGGGCGCCACCGCCCATGTGGCCACGGCTAGCTGCCTGAATGGGAGCCGACTGACTATAGAGCTCCTGGTGAGATCTTTGGGCTGGATTGAGCTCCTTGCACAAACCCGCCCGCGCGCTCCACGTGGCAACAAAGACGACGTGACCCTCCGCCCCTTCAGACATCAGCCCCGCGCCGCGTCCCACATTCTTCCTGCACTCACACCAGCAACAGAAAACACCCCTGAACATCCCACAGCAATTCACAGCGCAAGGTCAACCATAGCAACCCAGCAAACCGTGCACCAAACTGCTGCCTGCGCAGTTCCTGACACACTCCACCGCTCAGTAACCCCACAGCTAGGGTGAGGCAGGCGCCTATGCGTGAGCGCCGACAATTGCGGGGCCGCCGGTGATCTCGTGAGGCGGCGTCGAGCCCCACCCAACCCGCTTGCCCCCGATGCTGCAGATGCCGGGCGTTCCCTGTCCAGTCAGCCTGCCGGCTAACGGCGTGGCAAATGGTGGCGGCGCCGCCGCCCCGGCCGATGCGCCCAAGAAGCAGAGCCCCAAGGTCCACTCTGTGGCCTCAGAGGAGGACCTGGTTACGCTGCACAACCTGCTGGCCGATGCTCAGGAGGCGCAGGCCAAGTATTCGCGCTTCACGCAGGAGCAGGTGGGGGCTTGGGTGCCGGGCGGCCGTCCGTTGGGGGGGCGGCACGCGCCGTCTCGCCGCCCGCCGCAGCTGCATGCTTGCGCCTGGGGCCCCCCAGCTGGCCTGATCCAGCCCTCTACGAGTATGCCCCTGAACCCCACGTGAACACTGCAGGTGGACGAGATCTTTGTGGCGGCAGCGCTGGCGGCCAACCAGGCCCGCCTGCCGCTGGCCAAGATGGCGGTGGAGGAGACGCGCATGGGGCTGGTGGAGGACAAGGTAGGCTTGCACTGGGTGCCACGGGCCTGGTTGCCTTGCTGCAAAACTGCGGGCTCAACTGTCCGGCTGCACTTGCGCTGCTTTGTCGCGAATGTCAGTGCTTTGTATGTATGCTCAACTGTCCAGCTGCACTTGGCGGCGCGCCTTGAACTGCTGGGCTTGGGGCTCCACTGCGGCAGCTGGCCTCCCCCCGCCGCCCCGCAGGTCACCAAGAACCACTTCGCCTCTGAGTTTGTGTGCAACAAGTACCGCTTCGAGAAGACGTGCGACGTGATTGAGGTGGATGCGCCTGGCGGCGTGACCAAGGTGGCAGAGCCCGTGGGCGTGATTGCAGGTTGGCCGCAGCCCCGCTGGGTGTGGGGTGGGGTGCGGCCCCACCTGCGGTGCATTGATGCCCATGACTGCGGCTTTTATGCGCCCACCCGCCAGCCAGTGCTCTGCACCCGCCATCCGCTAGCCGCGCACGCCTGCCGCCCAACACATCCCAACTCGGGAGCCTGCCGACGCTGCTGCGGGCAGGGGATCAAGCTCTTGCCACCCAGTGGGGCCTGCTGCAAAGCAGCGGTGCGGCAGGCTGACGGTGCTGCATGTGCGCTGCCGCTGTTCTGCCCCCCTGGCTGCCGCAGGCGTGGTGCCTACCACCAACCCCACCTCCACCGCCATCTTCAAGGCCCTGCTTGCCCTCAAGACCCGCAACGCCCTGGTGAGGCGCGCAGCTGGCTAGCTATGCTATGGTTTGTCAGTCAATGCAGCAGTAGCTGTAGCGTGCTAGAGAGAAGTGCAAGGGAGCGATCCCTCCACCAGCCTGCTCCACACCTCCGCGCGCTGGCCCCGCGCGCCGGGCCCGCGCGCCGGCCCCGCCTGCCAGCATGCCGACCGCGCGCCGCCTGGCCGGCTGCCTGCCTCGCGCTCCCCTGGGCCCCGCAGGTGCTGTGCCCGCACCCGCGCGCCAGGCGCTGCACGATTGAGGCGGCTCGCATCGTGCACGAGGCGGCGGTGGCTGCGGGGGCGCCGCGCCACATCATCTCCTGGATCGAGCACCCCTCCATGTGCATCTCCCAGGCGCTCATGCAGTCCCCAGAGATCTCCCTCATCCTGGCCACGGGCGGACCCCAGATGGTGCGCCGCCGCCGCCGGGCATGTCGCTGCCGCCGCTCGCTCAGAGCGGAAAGCACGGCCCGACACGCGTCGGCGTGCTGCTGCAGCTGCCGCCGCTGCTGCTGCCGCCTCCCACCGCCCCGTGCTCCCCTTCCCCACCCCCGCAGGTGCGCGCCGCCTACTCGTCTGGCCACCCCGCGCTGGGCGTGGGCGCGGGCAACACGCCCGCCGTCATCGACGAGACCGCCGACATCCAAATGGCTGTGTCCTCCATCCTGGTCTCCAAGGCAAGGCAGTGGTGGTGGAGGCGGGAGGAGCCTTGCGGAATGTCGCCGCACGCGGGGGGCGGAGCCAGCTGCTGCCGACCGTGAGCAGGCGTGCTGTGCGGCGCCGCCAGCCAGCCAGCCGGCAGGGGCGGCTTGGCGCGGGAAGGGCCCGGCGACACGCGCGCCGCCGCTGCTGCCGTGCCAGCTGCTGCCAGCTGCCCTCCAGCTCACCGCCTGCCTGCCTGCCTGCCTGCCCAGGCCCACCCCACCCTGCCCCTCCTCACCGCCCCGCTCCCTTGCCTTGCCCACTGGCGTTGCCCCCTGGCCCGCCCTGGCGCAGACCTTTGACAACGGTGTGATCTGCGCCAGCGAGCAGAGCGTGGTGGTGGTGGACTCTGTGTACGACAAGGTGCGGGAGGAGCTGGTGCGCCGCGGCTGCTACTTCCTCAAGGACGAGGAGGAGAAGGACAAGGTGGGCTTGGTGGTGGTGGGTGGGACGAGGGCATGCTGGTGGTGGGGGGGTGCACGCTAGGGAGTGGCCAGCTGCAAGTATGTGTGTGCGTGCAAGCAGTAGCAGCGACCCGGCTGGTGTGTGCCGCTGCCCATTCAGCCCTCCCTCCATGCATGCCCGCAGGTGCGCTCCACGCTGATTGTGGATGGGCGGCTGAATGCCGACGTGGTGGGTCAGTCTGCGGTGAAGCTGGCAGAGATCTTTGGGCTGACGGTGCCCGAGTGGACGCGCGTGCTGGTGGGAGAGGTGAGGGCGGCAGGAGGATGGGTCAGCCGCGGTGCTGTGCCACGCTGTGTGGACCGCTGGGCCAGATGGGGCGCAGCGGCTGGCGCCTGCACGGCCGTCCTGCTTGGCCAGTCTCGTGCCGTGGGGCCTCTGCCTCTCCCCAGGCGAGCCCTGCTGCCGTGGGTTGGTTGGCCTCCACCCTCCAGTTCACGCCTGTCCCCCATGTCTTTCTGCCTGCCCTCCCCGCCTGCAGGTGGACCGCATCGGCAAGGATGAGCCCCTGTCTGAGGAGAAGCTGTGCCCGCTGCTGGCCATGTACCGCGCCCGCGACTTTGACGACGCAGTGCAGAAGGCCGACCGCCTGGTCATGCTGTTTGGCGCGGGCCACACCTCCGTGCTGTACACCTCCCCGCTCAACCGCGCCCGCATCGAGCGCTTCACCCGCGCCATCAAGACTGTGCGCGTGCTGGTCAACACACCCTCCAGCCAGGTGAGGTGCTGCGGCGCGGTGGGGTGCTCTGTGTGCAGGGGGGTGGGCCAGGGGGAGTGGTGTGGGGTGGCGCACGCGGGCGGGCGGGTGGGTGAGGGTGCGCGCCCTTGGTGCATGGGGGCAGCAGCGGCGGCGGCAGGTGGAGCTGGAGGCGGAGCGGCGGGCTGTCTGGGCGCCTGAGCCAGACTGCTGTGCCAAGGATGCCCCTCCCCACTGCACCACCACCACCGTACACACGCTCACACACCCATCATCCCGCCCCACCCACCCACACCATTGCCACGCGTGCAGGGCGCCATCGGCGACCTCTACAACTTCCACCTCGACCCCTCCCTCACCCTGGGCTGCGGCTCCTGGGGCTCCACCTCCGTCTCCACCAGTGAGTGTGGACACGCGAGCGGGACCGCCAAGCATGCAGCCCGGCCGCGGCACACGGCACAGTCCAGCTGCTGCTGCTGCTGCTGTGCTCCATGCACCACGCCCAGCCAGACAGCAGCCAGACAGCCACCTGGTGCCAGCGTCATGCCACCGAGCAGGCTCCAGCCAGATGCTAACGCGCCCACCGCTGCCTGGCCACCTGCCTGCACCCCCCAACCCCCGCAGACGTGGGCCCCCGCCACCTGCTCAACATCAAGAGCGGCATCGAGCGGCGCGAGAACATGCTGTGGTTCCGCGTCCCGCCCAAGGTCTACTTCAAGGTGTGCCCTGGCAGGGGAGGGAGGGAGGGAGGGGCCATGCGGTGGCCGCACGCTGTCGCAGGCAGGCAGTCTGTGGAGCAGTGGCTGCTGTGGGTGGCGGCGGTGCGTCGTCTCACGCGCAGGCGCAGGCAGAGATGCGGGTGTGGGGGAGGCTGTGCGTGCACGCAGCAGAACTGGGGGGGCCGCTGCCCACACAGCTCAGGGGCTGATGGCTGACATGCCGGCTCTGCCCCTGCCGCCCTGCGCAGGGCGGCTGCCTGGAGCCGGCGTTGCGCGAGCTCAAGGGCAAGCGCCGCGCCTTCATTGTCACGGGTGAGCGGGCACGGACGGTTCTGCCGGGTGCCACCTCACAGCGGCGTCGCTTCCGGCCCTGGCGGCTTTTCCTGCCTGCCTTCTCCTTGCCTGCCTGCCTGCCTGCCTGCCTGCCTGCCGCTCGCCAACGTTCCCAGTGCTAACGCTGCCCCTGCTGGCCCCGCTGCCCCTCGCTGCTGCAGACAAGCCGCTGTTTGACCTGGGGTACGCCGACCAGGTGACGCGCATCCTGGACACCGTCAACATCCAGTACCAGGTGGGGCAGCTTCGGGGCAGCTGCCGGCGGCACTCGCTGCGCTGCTGAGGAGGGCCGCCGGCCAGAGCCCCGCGAGCTCCTTTCGGCGTCGGCGGGGCAGGAGGCCGGCAGCGGCGGCCGATAAACAACACCACACACACGTTCTCCCCCTCCTCACCTCTCCATCCGATCCGCAACCCGATCCGCCCCTTCCCCCACCCTCAGCTGCCCTCCCTCCTCCCCCCCTAGGTCTTCTACCACGTGGCCCCCGACCCCACCCTGGCCTGCATCCGCGAGGGCCTGTCTGAGATGAACGAGTTCAGGCCCGACGTCATCATCGCGCTGGGCGGCGGCTCGCCCATGGATGCAGCCAAGGTCATGTGGCTGATGTACGAGGTGGGTGAGGCCCCTTGGGAGGGAGGGTCATAATGTGTGCCTGCTACCTGCGCTGCTCCTCCGCCAGGGGTTCCGCTGCCCCTGGGTTGTTGCTGGGGTGCTGGCACGCGCCCACGCGCTGCGCGCTCGCCGCGTGGAGCAGCAGGCAGCGGCAGCGGCAGCGGCGCGCCGCCCTGCTCCGCCCATCGCCCTGCCTGCCTGCGCCTGCCCCCCGCCAGGTGCCCGACATCAAGTTTGAGAGCCTGGCCATCCGCTTCATGGACATCCGCAAGAGGTGAGTACGCGCGGGGGGCAAGCGTACCGCGGCGGTACGACACTTCGCCGGGAGGGCGTGACCTTCTCCGTTCTGGGCTGCAGGGTGTACGAGGTGCCGGAGCTGGGCAAGAAGGCGCAGCTGATCTGCGTGGTGAGCGCCGTGGGGTGAGGGGGGGAGGGCACCGGGGACCGTGGGGCGGCCTGCGGCGTGCAGCGGGAGGGGACGTGGGGGGGCAGGGCGGCGACCCTCCCGGTGGCGGGCCGCCAGCACCAGCGCTTGCCCAATGCTCTGGCAGGCTGCCTGAGGCCGCTGCGTTGCCTGGCACTTGACCCTGCGGGCTCCCCTGCCGCTGCAGCCCACCACCTCGGGCACCGGCTCCGAGGTCACGCCGTTTGCGGGTGAGCCGCCCGCCTGCTGCCTGCCGGCGCCTGCCTGCTGCCTGCCTCCCGTGGCGCTGCCATGCCCGTCCTCGGTGCCGGCTGCGGGCCGCTGCTTGCGGCCCCACCCTGCTCACCTGCCGCCCATCTCCCCTTGCAGTTGTGACCGATGAGTCCACCGGCATGAAGTATCCGCTGGCCGACTATGCGCTCACACCCAACGTGGTGAGCTGCCGTGGTGGCTTCTGGTGGTGGGGGGTGGTTTGCTGGGTGGGTGGGTAGGAATGCGTTTGACAGGTGGGGCGCAGGGGGACCTTGCCCGCTGCCCTGGCCACAGGGCAGCACAGGGCCAGCCCTGGATTCCCATCCTTGG